GATCGATACCTATACTTTCCATCCTTCGAGACACTGCTGGTCTGGTGGACGGTGGGTCGTTGGTAGACGCTGATTGAATCTACACCTTCAGAGACGCTGGCGACGCTGAAGCGAAGTATGAACGTAGCCTAACATGTCTTAACGTCGACCGAGTCATCTTTCAAGATGCCATGACGTGTGTTTACCTTGCTTTGTGAGTATCCGCGTTCGCTGCGATTCAGCCATGGAGAGACCGACTCTCGATCTCATAACACCTCTGAGGTCAACATCAGACGGTAGCATCTTTTCAGACTTCATAACCACTAGTTGGTTGGCATGCGTCGAACATCACGTTTAGCTTTTCAAGGAGTACATCAGAACAGCGCCACATGAGTTTATCGGCAATGTGAAACTTCAGAAATCTTTCATTCGCATTCTTTTATGTGGCAGAAAGTGGTATCGTTACGTTGCCGCTTGGTGTCACTGATGCAAACGCAGCTGTTGCGTCGGTGGCATCTGCAGGAGCCGGTGCGAACTGCACTACCATCTTGTCATCTTTCGGCGGTCCTGACTGAAATCCTGATAGTGAGATAACAGCAAATCGACTGGAAAAAGAAGTCGCCATCTCACCAATCGTGTAATTTCAAGAGGAGTTGATGCTCCAGGATCGACGAATCCGTACACCGGCTTCACACGATACTCCGTATTGTTTGAGCTCTTCACTTTAAAAATCATCTTTTCAGTGCCCGAGTTAACAAGATTGTGAGTCAATGTTCCACCACCCGCTGGAACAGTGGCCGACGGTGGATCAGCAGTTAGCGACATTAGCAATCAGGGGTAAATGAAGTACCGACCTACATCCGTCGATATTTATAGACCAGTCGATCAGCTTTTATCACCAGCAAAACATCCTTTACTAAACATCTCATTATTCTAGAAGATGGCGCTAGGCTCTAGTCCCTTCGAACTGAATCGTATCAAGTCCTCCGTAAATCACGGAGTTGGGTAACAATGGAGTGCGATCAGGGTACAGCATGGGGATGTGCGAAATGTCGGTGTGAGTACGACCCCCCCCTCGAAGAGGGTCCTGTTACGACCCCCCCCCTCCACCTCCACGGCTTTTTCTCGCCGACGACAAGCGATGAGTATATAGTCGGCGAAAAAGTTGTCGAGGGGGGTATACAATAACTATGCAACGTATCCCACGGGCGTACAGAATGCATATAGTGCATATAAAAAAAAAATTAATACGACCCCCCTTTTCCACAAGAAAAAATCAACTATCAAAATAAATTTGTCTTACAAATACGACCCCCCCTCCCCAGAGCAAAAGTACGACCCCCCATGGGTTTGACACAACGATGCTGTACCCTGACATTATGCAAAGGTCCCGCAGCGAAACACACACTCTGCCGTAGAGAACTGCCAGGAGTGAGATGGAGGAGGCAGTTATCCCGCCTGATTATGGTTAGGCGTCAGG